TCTGTTCCTGTTGCTGGTGATGTATTCAATTCATCTTGTGAAATAGTTGTACCTCCTAATTTTGTCGAGAATCTTACTAGTGTCAGATGGACTTATGATTTAGAAGCATCTCGAGATGTTACTAGTGAAAACAATGATGCTACACTAGTACCGGTTGTTAGAAATGGAAATATATTTACCAGTGTACTTACACTTGATCCAGTGAAGACAACTGATGCTAGACAATATTACTGTCAAGCAACAATTATAGTTTTTGGTACTGTAGATCGTACTAACAGAGATTTAACTGTTCAAAGTTTGTTTTACCTATTATTATGTAGTTGAAATAATAATTCATTTTGTAGTACCTCCTCCCAGTGTATCAATAGTTGCTGACCCTCCAACTGGTCCAATATATGAGAGTACAAGTTACTTACTAACCTGTACAGCTACAGTAAACACTACAATAGTGAATACACCAGTAACTGCTAGTGTAGTATGGACTGATCCTAGTGGTAATGTAATACCAACTAATGATACAAGACATCAAGTGACACCTCCAACTGGTAACAGTCTTGTAAGCATGCTATTGTTTCAACCTATTGATACTGGTCTTAATAATGATGGAGGAACATATACCTGTCAAATGATCATCAATTCTGGCAACTCATTAATAGCATCAAGTCAAAGTACTAATACTACTCTTACTGTTACTGTTGAAAGTAAGTTACAAAAATACTTCTCTCTTCTCTTATTCTCCCTTCTCTTTTCTGTTTAATTTTTTTCTTTATTTTCTTATTGATCATATTATTTTTTGTTAGGTCTTCTTCCAATGACAGTAAATTTCTCATCAGTTGGTTCAGTTGAAGTTGGTCAGAGTCTAACTATAACATGTACCATAACAACAGTCGAGAGATTAGTAGTAACACCAATGATTACTTTTATCAAAATGAATGATACAGATATGGAAATGCTCTCTAACTTAAATAGACCATACAGTATCACAACAGATGATACTGGTTCAGTTACTAACTATACTCTAATACTGGATCCAGTGAGGTTTGAAGATGCTGGAATGTATACATGTATAGCTGAGTTTAATGTAACTGGTTTTAATAATACCAATGATCATAGTACTGCTACTTATGATCATCAAGAGGATAGTGATGTCTTTACTTTAACTGTTAACTGTAAGTTACTGTAATAATAAACAGTAAAATTTATCAAATTCCTTATTTTTCATCTCATTACAGTCCCTCCAGTACTTGTTACTATATCAAAGGAACATGATGATATATTATATGCAGGGACACCATTCTTCATTAAATGTGACATAATGTTAGATCCATTAGTTACTATACCAGTGACTGTCACTAATCAATGGACACGTGATGGTACTAATGTTCCTATGGGTTCATCTGATGATACTATTACTGAGGGTCTCAATATGATCAATACATTACATTATAATGCAACATTAATGTTCTATCCATTGGATAATGCTGATGATAGTGGAATGTATACTTGTAATGTTGAAGTGACTGCTCCTAATAGTTACATGTATCTCAGGAATACATCAGCTAATGTTAATACTTCTATTACAGTTATTGGTAAGCATAATCTATGCTGTATACATTAGATCTAATGTATTATATGCTTTTGTTTAATTGTACCAAAGCTTTCATAGCTTAATGTTTTGTATAGACCAGTTGGCGCTAAGTATATTCATAAAATTTTAAGTATATTCATTGTGATACCGTAAATAAAGTAAAATTTTCCTACTGCCATTTTGGAGTCCTACTTCCAATGGTTGTCTATGGAGCTCGCTATGGAGTGATCGTGAAAAGAGCTTATTCTCCAAAAACTGCATGCTGTATTTATTCTTTACAGCAATATTGCTACTGCTTACTGACCATTATCCAGTGTCTATAGTTGGCTCATGGACTTTAATAAGTGCCACTAGAAGATATAGAAGCAAAGATATTACTTTCTCCCATTTAGTCTATCTCCCATTCTACTCTTAGTAACTAATGCCCACCATCCACTATTCAACTTTGTTGAAAGCAACTTTGTGGTTACTTTGATCTTAGGGCAACTCTGTTGCCTAAAATAGAACTGAGTTCTATTTTAGGCAACAGAGTTGAC